CAGAGAATATTTGTTGAATGAAACTATAATAGTGTTATTTCTCTGCCTCAAATCCTTTTGGAAGTAAATGATTGTTTTAGGGATGTTACAGGCCACCTGTCCTCAATTCTTTTGGCACCAGGGACTGTTTTCATGGAGTAAGGGCCAGCGGGCTATGGGTAGCAGGCTCTGCTTGTCCACCACCCACCTCCTGCTGTGTGGCCCCATGCCTAACAAGTCTCAGACTACACCAGTCTGCTTCCTGGGGATTGAGGACCCTTATTATTGGCTGCAAATTGCAGAAAACTAGTTCAGCTCAGTTTAAGTAATGACGAAACCCATCATTTTGTTTGATGGAAAGCCTTTCATTAGCGGGAATTTTCCTGGTTGGATGAGTCAGTGGCTCAGCAGTTAGCATTGCCTTCTCAACAGTCAGCTGCCTCAGGCATGTACCCTCACCATCAGCAGCAGTAAGCAGCCTGCACACCCTCTGGGAGAAAGAAGAGACTGACTTTGTGCATCTAGTTCATCTGGGACTGGATGTTTGAGTGCCTAAATGTGGAAGACAAAGATGAAAAAACATCCTTTCTTTCCTGGTGAGGACAAACAGCGTGAATTGGCAAAAACTTCAGGGAGACTAAGAACATTCATTTTCAAGATGCTGAAATACAGGATGACTTGCGAGCCGTACTTAGACGTGGGAAACATTAAATGAGGGAGGACTCATTTGTTCTTTTGAGGTGGCTACTTGGGCTTGTGCTCTGTTTTGCCAGCCTTCCAAAACTTTTGTGTCTTAAGAGAATACCTTAAAAATGCTAAAGTAGAAAACAAAAGTAGCTCATAATTTCAGCCTCCAAATAATATCTGTTGATTTGTTCAATCCCTGGCCTGGGAAGATTCCACATGCTATGGGGCAACTTAAGCCTGTGTGCCACAACTACTGAGGTCATACTCTGGAGCCCACAAACTGCAGCTACTGAGCCCGTGTGCCAGAAGTCCTGGAGCCCGGACACCCTAGAACCTGTGCTCCACAATAGGAGAGCAGCCCCTGCTCACCACAGTTAGAGAGAGCCCTCAGGCAGCAGTGAACCCAGTGCAGCCAAGAAGTAAATAAATAAATTAAATGATACAACATTTGCAAATTGCAGAGAGTTGTAATAGGCCTGAGTATTGCCCTCTTTTCTGATGCCCAGCATTGCCTCACTCCTCTCCTCAGAGGCGCACATCATTGGCAGTTTGATGACACCTTCCAGAAAGCAGTTGTGCTGGTGGATATCAGCCCTGTATGCTCATGAGCACAAACTGTTCTATTTCAGTCCTTTCACATCTATATGATGATCTGCCGTGTGTGGAGGGGCCTCTGGTTGGGGATCGTGTTACGCATGTGTGGGTGAAACTGTGTGTATCAAGGAGGTGTATTCCTAGTAATGGTGAGGTGGTTCATACATTCAGAGTGTATGAATATTTAAAATTTGGATGGATATCGTCAAATTCTCCTCCCAAAAGTTTACAATAGTTTTCATTCCTGCCATTATGCTTTCTCCTTTCTGGGTATCAGTTTTTTTCATTTGTGGCCCTGTAATAGGTAATGTTGTTTACTTGTGATTTGAATTTTGCTGTTTGAATTGAGGGAGAAATGGAGAGCTTATGAGTTTTTTGCCCATTCGTGTTTCTTTTTCTCTGAACTGCCAGATGAGTGCTATTTCTGTTATAAGTTGGCTTTGTAAGTGAAGGAAATTAACTCTCTGCTGCCATGTATATGATTGTAAAATGTATTTTTCTTTGTCTTTTATTGGTCTTCTTTACTTTTGCCACTCAGATTTTAATTTTTATGGAGTTAAAGTTATTAGACCTTTTTTTTGTGTGTGTGAGTTCTGCTCTTTGAGTTTTTTGTTCTGCTCTGACCTGGCCACTCCACCTGCTGACACCCATGCACAGCCAACTGTAACTGGGCTATGTAAAGTCATTAGGGCACACCTGGAGAAGGCAATGGCACCCACTCCAGTTCTCTTGCCTGGAAGATCCCAGGGACGGAGGAGCCTGGTAGGCTGCAGTCCGTGGGGTCGCCAAGAGTCAGACACGACTGAGCAACTTCACTTTCACTTTTCACTTTCATGCATTGGAGAAGGAAATGGCAACCCACTCCAGTGTTCCTACCTGGAGAATCCCAGGGACGGAGGAGCCTGGTAGGCTGCAGTCCATGGGGTCGTGAAGAGTCGGACACGACTGAGCGACTTCACTTTCACTTTTCACTTTCATGCATTGGAGAAGGAAAGGGCAACCCACTCAAGTGTTCTTCCTGGAGATTCCCAGGGACAGAGGAGCCTAGTGGGCTGCCGTCTATGGGGTCGAGCAGAGTCAGACACGATTGAAGCGACTTAGCAGCAGAAGCAGCAGCAGCAGCAGCAGCAGGGCACACCCAGGGTGGAGTTTAGGCAGCTGGACCCCAGAGCCCCACGATTCCAGACATGTTAGGAGAAGTCACAAGTTCTTGACAGAGCTGAATCTTTGTGTTCTGGGGCTGCTTTATGTCTACTAGACCTAAGTGGAGTTAGACTTAGTAAGGTGGGCAGGATTGTTGTTTTTCAGTTGCCAAGTTCTGTCTGACTCTTTGCGACCCAATGGATTTCAGCATTCCAGGCCTGTCTGTTCCTCACCATCTTCCGGAATTTGCCCAAATTCATGTCCATTGAATCGGTGACGCCATCCCACCATCTCAGGCTCTGTTACCCTCTTCTCCTTCTGCCTTCAATCTTTCCCAGCTTCAGGGTCTTTTCCAGTGAGTTAGCTGTTTGCATCAGGTGGCCAAAGTATTGGAGTTTCAGCATCAGTCTTACTTTTAAAAAGGTGGGCAGGGTGCTGAGGCTAAAAACTAGAATATATGTGTAGGCGGTTATATTGGCCCCTTTAACGAGGTATTAGGTAAATTCCAGATGGCCAGTGAGATAAAATGACTTTGGTCCTTACCCAGCTGAAAGGAGTAAGGACAGAGAGACCAAAGGACTGTGATTTTGTGATATGATAAGAAACATATGAACTTCTAAAACGTTGGAATTTTCTGAGAGATTAGAGGCATTAGGAGGTTTTTTTTTTTTTTAAATTCATAATAAACCCCTTTCAACCATACTTGAGTTTATACTAATGAGATGACTCTTGGTGTGGGGGTGGGGTGGGGATGTGGGGTGCACCTAGGTGACTTCAGGATGGGGCTGGTTCCCAAAGGAACCAAGCTTGTGATGAGAAGTTTAGAGCTTTCAATCCCATTCCTGGACCTCAAGGAGATGGCAGAGAGACTGCCACTTAATCACCAGTGTCCAGTGATGTAATCATGGATACCTAATGGAATCTCCTTCAGTTCAGTTCAGTTCAATTCAGTCACTCAGTCATGTCCGACTCTTTGCGACCCCATGAATTGCAGCACGCCAGACCTCCCTGTCCATCACCAACTCCCGGAGTTTACCCAAACTCATGGCCATTGAGTCGGTGATGCCATCCAGCCATCTCATCCTCTGTTGTCCCCTTCTCCTCCTGCCCCCAATCCCTCCCAGCATCAGGGTCTTTTCCAATGAGTCAACTCTTCACATGAGGTGGCCAAAGTATTGGAGTTTCAGCTTCAGCATCAGTCCTTCCAATGAACACCCAGGACTGATCTCCTTCAGGATGGACTGGTTGGATCTCCTTGCAGTCCAAGGGACTCTCAAGAGTCTTCTCCAACACCACAATTCAAAAGCATCAATTTTTTGGCGCTCAGCTTTCTTCACAGTCCAACTGTCACACCCATACATGACCACTGGGAAAACCATAGCCTTGACTAGACGGACCTTTGCTGGCAAAGTAATGTCTCTGCTTTTTAATATGCTATCTAGGTTGGTCATAACTTTTCCTTCCAAGGAGTAAGAGTCTTTTAATTTCATGACTTCAGTCACCATCTGCAGTGATTTTGGAGCCCCAAAAAATAAAGTCTGTCACTGTTTCCACTGTTTCCCCATCTATTTCCCATGAAGTAATGGGACCAGATGCCATGATCTCAGTTTTCTGAATGTTGAGCTTTAAGCCAACTTTTTCACTCTCCTCTTTTACTTTCATCAAAAGGCTTTTTAGTCCCTCTTCACTTTCTGCCATAAGGGTGGTGTCATCTGCATATCTGAGATTATTGATATTTCTCCCAGCTGTCTTGATTCCAGCTTATGCTTCATCCAGCCCAGCGTTTCTCATGATGTACTCTGCATATAAGTGAAATAAGCAGGGTGACAGTATACAGCCTTGACGTACTCCTTTTCCTATTTGGAACCAGTCTGTTGTTCCACGTCCAGTTCTAACTGTTGCTTCCTGACCTGCATATAGGTTTCTCAAGAGGCAGGTCTGGTATTCCCATCTCTTTCAGAATTTTCCAGAGTTTATTGTGATCCACACAGTCAAAGGCTTTGGCTTAGTCAATAAAGCATCTCCTTAGGAACCCATAAATGACAGAGTTCCACTGGTCACATGGAGATGCTGCGAAGTGGTACCTGGAGAGGCAATGGAAGCTGTGCTTGCACACTTTGTGCTTTTCATAGCATCCATTTGGCTGTTCCTGAGTTGAATCCTTTTATAATAAACAGAATATTGTAAAGTGCTTTCCTGAGTTCTGTGAGCCATAGCAGATTATTGAATCTCAGGAGGGAGTCAATATATATTTATATGAATTTATATATATAAATAAATAAATTTATATATATAAATCTCCCAATTTGTACATTAGAAATACAATAGGCCTAGGACTTTTCTTTAAAGTGGGAGCACTCTTGTGGAACTGAACCTTTAACTGGTGAGGTCTGATGCTAACTCCACATAGTTAGTGTTGGAATCTACCTGAATCATTAGGCATCCAGTTGGTGTCCTGAGAATTGGAGAATTGGTTACTGGTATGGAAAAATCACACATATTTGGTGTCAGAAGTGAGTAAAAACAGCTCATATGGGTCATTCTCTTTTCTGAATATGATTCTGAACCTGCCTATTTTTTTTTCTATAGGTGAGAAAATGGCATTTGTGAAGAGTGGATGGTTGCTGCGACAGAGTAAGTATAGGACATGGGCCCCTTGTGGTTTAGAGTTGCCTTAGGATTCATCTTTTATTTCTGTGGCTGATACTGCTGACATTTACAAATAAATAACAAAGTCTTACTAATGCTGTTGCTCTGGATTTCCTCTTGCAGATTTTTAGATTTCTGTGAACTGTTTTTCTGCATGCATGAAGCTTCTTGGTTGCTGCCTGACAGGAACCAGGGGATAGTAGTCCCTGCTGATTTTTCTTGCTAGCATTCTGTATTATTAATGGCTGACCTGAGGTTCTTAAGCCTACCCAAGCTGAGCTGGTATATTACTATGGAGGTACTGCTTACTGTAGGAAATGGCTATCTCATCTAGGAATTGAACAGTGATGAGATTCTGAAATACTGGAGTCTTCAATTATAGATTAAGATTTGACCTGAGGGAGTGCATTTACCTAAAACCAAATCTTTTTTTATCTCCAAAAGGACTCTGGAGAAGAGACTCAGTTCTTTCCCTGTGAGATTGAGTTCATTTTCTTAGACTCATCTCTATGGGCCTGACAGTCTAGTTTAGGATTCTGCAGTCAGGGCTTTGATGGCAGGTGTGATGCTTGGCTGGCACTCCGCAGCCTAGTGATTACACCTGTCTGTATTTGGGTGGCTCTCTTCAGTAGTTTTTGCACAGCTCAGGTGCTGCCAGTCAAATAGATACTGAATGCCAGTTATTTATCAATTTGGGCAAGTGCTGTGGTTGCCCCTCTCAGCAAGGTGGGTGCTTGATAGTGGTCAAAGAAATTCGGAAGGCAGCTGTGATGAATATTCTTTTGATACCTGCAGTGGACATGGGAGATATGGAGAGGCACATGCAATGGAATTTGTGCCCATTGGCCAAGAATTGGGATCTATAGAAACAAAAGACTAGGTATAGATAGGTATAGATATGGTGCAGGGATGACCTTTAGTTTTCCTTTTTGGCTGACAGGAAATTATAGTTTTGTAAAGTTAAATGCCTAGTCCAAGATGACAGATGAAAGGAGAATAGCATCGAAACATGTATATTATCTAGGGTGAAACAGATCACCAGCCCAGGTTGGATGCATGAGACAAGTGCTCGGACCTGGTGCACTGGGAAGACCCGGAGGGATCGGGTGGAGAGGGAAGTGGGAGGGGGCATCGGGCTGGGGAATACATGTATATCCATGGCTGAATCATGTCAATGTATGACGGGAACCACTGCAATGTTGTGAAGTGATTGACCTCCAACTAATAAAAAAAAAATAAAAAATAAAAAAAGGATGCATTCTCACAAACTGATAGACTGTGATGGGATGCATGCTGGATGGGAGCCAGGCTCTGGGAGTGGGTGTGTCCAGCATCTGAGCCTGCCTCTGCATAGCCTTAGGCAGGGAGACTCTCCTGCACTGTGGGCTGTAAGGGAAGGTGAATGTTAGAGAAAAGTATATATGAAGGCCTTTCAAGAAAAAGGGAGATATTTTCCAGAAGAGGAAGGTATTACTGTTATTTCTAAGTAGAGAGTTTATGGTCCAACATTTTCTAATCAATCTAGCAGTTAGATACTGCTCAGAAAGTTTCGATATACCACATGGAGAGTTAAATGCTAGACATGTTTTATTAGCTCAAAATTTATTCAGCTTTTTTTTTCTTCTTTTATGTTTTGAAACTTAAGTTGGCAGCGTTCTCAGTAGGAGTTAAATTCTCATCTTAGCGTAAGCTGCCTGCAACCCTGGTGCAGCATGAGTGTTCATGCAGTCTGGGTCTGCTTTCATTTCCATTTTCGTAGACTGCCCTGGGCAGGCATATGCAGGTATACTTTTGGGGCAAGAGGAAAGTTTCTTTTGTTTCTGTTACCTGTGAGTCAGAGGACAAAGTCCTTGCTTTTCCACTAAAAGCCAACATTTCCACTTTTTTTCAGGTACTATTTTGAAGCGCTGGAAGAAGAATTGGTTTGACCTGTGGTCAGATGGTCACCTGATCTATTATGATGACCAGTCTCGGCAGAGTGTAGAAGATAAGGTCCACATGCCAGTGGACTGCATCAACATCCGCGTGGGACATGAATGTCGGGGTAGGTGGTTTGCAGTGTCCGGCTTGTGTCACCCACCCGTCCCCATTCTTGGTGGGAGTGATTCCTCTTTCTTGGCCATTTTGCTTTCATTTACAGATCAGAGAAGGGTTTCATATAGGCAGAGGTAACCAGATGAAACCAGACACCTGGATTATAACCCATGTGGACTGGCAGATTAATTTTCTCCTCTGAATAGATCCATCAGTCCACATTTCTGTTCTCTCTCATGAAGAAAGTGGTGGAGAACTAAGGAATCAGGCTGCTGGGAACCCCAGGAAGGATGGAGCTACTCTAGGTAGTTAGATTTTGTGACTCAGAAACTGGCTTATTGATAACAACTCCAGTTTCTAAAAATCTGATGTCTTTCCCGGAGTTACCTCTTATATAAATTTTGAAGGAATAGGTTTTTAATAAGCACAGACTTTTCTGTTTCTAATTAATGGCATATGTGGACTTCCCTGTTTATTAGCTCTGGAATACAGAGTCCACTGTAGTAACCATTGGTGTTACAACATCCTGCCCATATAAGTTCTTGAAACACAAGTTTCTATGGACTACTTTTTGAAATTCTTACTTGAACCAGGCTCAGATATCATAGGTCTTATACTTCTTGGTGTACACAGATATATTTCTTTTTATGAGTTTTTTTGTTTGTTTTAAAAAAATATTTATTTATTTTGGTTGTGTCGAGTCTTAGCTGCCGCACGTCGGATCTTTGTTGCCGGGTATTTTGTTGCAGCATGCAGACTTCTCTCTAGTTGTGGTGCATGAGCTGTAGAGTGTGTGGGCTTAGCAGTTGTGGCGTACAGTCTCTCGGGTTGTGCCACACGGGCTTTTGCTCGGGCTTAGTTGCCCCGTGGCGTGTGGGATCTTAGTTCCCTAACCAGGAATCAAACCCCCATTCCCTGCACTGGAAGACAGATTCTTAACCACTAGACCACCAGAGAAGTCCCAGAGATATTGTGAACATCTGATTTTCACTTCTAAAGCAGTGATGTAGTTTGATGCTTCCTGTGAATAAAAGAATTAAGTATTCTAGTAACTGATGCTTACACTTTTCATTGTGCTTATTCTCCTAATGACTGGGCTGTTCTGTGTATTACCATATGTGGATGCCCTCTTGAAGAGGCTTTCTTGTTTTTCCTGCAGGAAGTTTAACTAGTACGGAGTAATGATTCATGTGTTTGGTTCTGTAGGGCAGAACAAAGATGTTTTATAATTACAATGTTCTGAACTACTGGTCCTTTGCTTATCTGAGCTATTAAGAAGAAATCCTTGGGGAAAAAAAGTGGTGTTAATATTTCTATATATTTTTTATAGATATTCAGCCACCAGATGGGAAGCCAAAAGACTGTATGCTGCAGATTGTTTGCCGAGATGGAAAAACCATCAGTCTTTGTGCAGAAAGCACAGATGATTGTTTGTAAGTTTTTTCTGATGTGTTTAACTTAAAAAGTACTTTCTGTTTTAATTTCCAGTTTCAGGAAAAGAAAAGGATGGAAGTTAAGTTTTCCTTTAGGCAGCAGAATAAGTGACTTAGAGGTGTGTGAAAGAAATGTTAACAGTGTCTTAGTCCATGTCTGATGCCCTGATGCTAGCTTCTGCCTCTGCAGTGTCCTTATATAGTGAGTATGGCAGAAAGTATTAGATATAGTCACTTTGCATTTTTTTCTCATTACTAGATGTGAATTGGATGATGGGCATGGCTAAGTGGGTTCTTTTTTTTTTTTAAGTGGGTTCTTAAATCGTGATTTTTTTGGCTGTGCTGACAGGCTTGTGGGATATTAGTTCCCTAACCAGTAATCAGACCTGGGCCCACAGCAGTGAGAATGCAGAATCCTAACCTGTGGACTAGCAAGGGATTACCGTTAAATCTTGTTATTGTAATGTAAATATCTTTTAAATAGCCCTGACATCTGTATTATATAGCCTTTTCCATCTTTTGATGGTTCTTACTCCCATTTGCTCTCTCTGAAGAAAGAGTATAGAAATACAAGAAGGAAAGCCCAACTTCACTCGTTCTCATCCCTTAACATCCCATAACACCCCCTTAATGTAGGACGAGAATCTTGAAAACTCTGATTTTTTTTTTTTCTGTCCACACTTTACCACTACCATAGGTTAACTCTGGACATTTGAGAAGTCATTAACAGAGATTATAATAATATCCCTGTATATTAAAATATTCATATGTATATGCATTTTTATAAAATCCAGGTGGCCAGTTTGTTAGAGTGCCTGACCCTGCATTTTACATATATGCTTACCCTCAATATAGGCATGCTAAACTCTAGGGTTTAATTTAAATGCCAGATGTAGTTTCTTTTTTACATTCTTATTTAGTGAATGATAAATGTCACTTTCTGAAAGAGGTGTAGCTTTCATAAAGACGAATGGAGAAATGAACACATCTAGCCAGTTTGCTACTTTTTTATAAATTGGATCTATATATATTTTTACTAGTTAATCATTTAAGCTTATGTATATGAATACTTACTTTGAACTGGGCTCTGTGCTGACTGCTTTATATATGTTGTTTAATCCTCACTTTATAAAGTGGATTGTTGTTGTTCAGTTGCTCAGTTGTGTCCGACTCTTTGTGACTCCATGGACTGCAGCACACCAGGCTTCCCTGTCCTTCACGGTCACCCAGAGTTTGCTCAGACTCATGTCCATGGAGTCGATGATGCCATCCAGCTATCTCATCCTCTGTCAGCCCCTTTTACTCCTGCCTTGCTTTCCCAGCATCAGAGTGTTCCATGGGGTCGCCTCTTTGCATCAAGTGGCCAAAATATCGGAGCTTCAGCATCAGTCCTTCCAATGAATATTTCATGAATATTGATTTCCTTTAGGATTAACTGGTTTGATCTCCATGCTATCCAAGACACTCTCAAGAGTCTTCTCCAGCACCACAGTTTGAAGCAATAGTTCTTTGAGCTCAGCTTTCTTTATGGTCCAACTCTCATGTCTGTACATGACTACTGGAAAAGCCATAGCTTTGACTAGATGGAACTTTGTTGACGAAGTGAGGTCTCTGCTTTTTAGTACACTGTCTGGATTTGTCATAGCTTTCGTTCCAGAGACCAGGCATCTTTTAATTTCATAGCTGCAGTCACTGCAGTGATTTTGGAGCATCTGGGATCTTCCTGGAGCAGGGGTTGAACCCATATCCCCTGCATTGGCAGACACATTGTCAACCTCTGGACCACCAGGGAAGCCCCCTCCCAGCAGTTGATTCCAGCTTTGGACTCACCCACACCAGCATTTTGCATGATGTACTCTGCATATGAGTTAAGCAAGCAGGGTGACAGCATACAGCCTTGACGTCCTCCTTCCCCAATTTTAAACCAGTCCACTGTTCCATGTCCAGTTCTAACCATTGCTTCCTGGTCTGCCTGCAGGTTTCTCAGGAGACAGATAAGGCGGTCTAGTGGTGCCCTCTCTTTAAGAATTTTCCACAGTTTGCTGTGATTGACACAAAGGTTTTGGTGTAGTCAATGAAGCAGAAGTAGATGTTTTTCTGAAATACCTTTGCATTTTATTATCCAGTGGCTATTGGCAGTTTGATCACTGATTCCTCTGCTTTTTCTAAATCCAGCTTGTACATCTGGAAGTTCTTAGTTCATGTACTGTTGAAGCCTAGCGTGAAAGATTTAGAGCATTATCTTGCTAGCATGTGAAATGACTGCAATTGTATGGCTACCTTAGAATGGCTGTTACCAAAAAGAAAAAATATAAGTTGTTGGGTGAGGATGTGGAGAAAAGGGAATCCTGTGCATTTTTGGTGAGAATGTAAAGTTGTGAAGCCACTATGGACAGTATGGAGGTTCCTCAAAAAAAACCAAAATAGAACTAACATATGATTCTAAAATGCCACTTTTCAACATATATTTGAAGGGGATTAAATGGCTGTGTTGATGAGATAGCTGCACCCTTGTGTTTCTTGCATTATTCATAGTAGCCAACACATGGAAACAACTTAAGTGTCTGAAGAATGAATGAATTGATAAATAAAATGATACATATACAAACACACACAGAATTGCACATGTGTGGGCAACGAACTATTAATCAACTATAAAAAAAGAAACCCTGCTTTCACAGTATATAAATGGGTCCTGAGGGCTTTATGCTAAGTGAAGTAAGTTAGAGAAAGAAAAATGACTGTGTTTCTCATTTATATGAAGAATCTAAAAAAGCCAGACATGACTGAACAACTAACACTTTCATTTTCATAGAAGTGGAGAGTAGAATGGTGTTTACCTGTGGTTGAGGGAAATGGTGAGATGTTGGACAAAGGGTATAAGCTTCCAGCTGTAAGGTGAGTAAGTTCTCGGCATCTCTTTTAGCAGTGATTATAATTAATAGTTCTGTCTCATATACTTGAAAGTTAAGATAGTAAATCTTAAATGTTATCACCAAAGAAGTAAAAAATTAATCAGGTGTGTAGGGGTAGAGGTACCTTATTGTAGCAATCAGTTTATGTTATGTGTGATTCAGATCATCATATTGTACACCTTAAACTTAATTTGTTATATATCAGTTTCTCAAATACCAGCATTATTTTTAAGTGCAAAATACTGCTGACCTTCTAAATCTCATATGTGGAACTTTATGTAGCCATTTAAAAAATCAAATATTAATAGATCTGTGTGTATATCATGACCTGATAAAGTATAGGTTTAGTATAGTTAATTAAGCATGGTGCATTTTACATTTATTAAAAAGTGAAGGACTTCTCTGGTGGTCCAGTGGTTAAGACTCAATGCCTCCACTACATGGAGCTTGGGTTCGATCCCTGGTCAGGGAACTAAGATCCCACATGACCGTGGCTCAGCAAAAATTTAAAAAAAAAAAAAAGGAAAAACTTTCATATAGGTTATAGTTTAAATATTACATATGTATCAATACTGTAGATTTTTTTCTTCACATATTATAATTCCTAGTGCATGTCTTAAGTGAGTTGACAGAGTGAGTCTTGAGGCAAGGGCTAAGTTCAGTCGCTCAGTTGTGTCTGACTCTTTGTGACCCCATGGACTGCAGTATGCCAGGCTTCCCTGTCCATCACCAACTCTTGGAGACTACTCAAACTTATGTCCATTGAGTCAGTGATGCCATCTAACCATCTCATCCTCCCTTGTCCCCTTCTCCTCCCGCCTTCAATCTTTCCCAGCAACAGGGTTTTTTCAAATGAGTCAGTTCTTTGCATCAGGTGGCCAAAATATTGGAGTTTCAGCTTCAGCATCGGTCCTTCCAATTAATATTCAGGACTGATTTCCTTTAGGATTGACTGGTTGGATCTCCTTGCAGTCCAAGGGACTCTCAAGAGTCTTCTCCAACACCACAGTTCAAAAGCTTTGGTGCTCAGCTTTCTTTATATTCCAGCTCCTACATCCATACATGACTACTGGAAAAATCATAGCTTTGACAGGACGGACCTTTGTTGGCAAAGTAACATCTCTGCTTTTTAATATGCTGTCTAGGTTGGTCATAACTTTTCTTCGAAGGAGCAAGTGTCTTTTAATTTCATGGTTGCAGTCACCATCTGCAGTGATTTTGGACCCCCCAAAAATAAAGTCTGTCACTGTTCCCATTGTTTTCCCATCTATTTGCCATGAATTGATGGGATCAGATGCCATGATTTTCGTTTTCTGAATGTTAAGTTTTAAGCCAACTTTTTCACTCTCCTCTTTCGCTTTCATCAAGAGGCCCTTTAGTTCTTCTTCACTTTCTGGCATAAGGGTGGTGTCATCTGCGTATGTGAGGTTATTTATATTTCTCCCGGCAATCTTGATTCCAGCTTGTGCTTCATCCAGCGCAGCCTTTCACTTGATGTACTCTGCATATAAGTTAAATAAGCAGAGTGACAGTATACAGTCTTGAAGTATTCCTTTCCTGATTTGAACCAGTCTGTTGTTCCATGTCCAGTTCTTACTGTTGCTTCTTGACCTGCATACAGATTTCTCACGAGGCAGGTCAGGTGGCTGAGAACCCCACAAACAGTATGAAAAGGGCTAAAAGTCTATTATTAAAACAAGGTTTTTGAAAAATTCTGATGCCACTGCAGGTTTGAGAACCATTGAGATAGATATTGGGTTGCTGCAAATAAAGTACCTCTTTTTCTTTTTCTTTTCTTCAGGGCCTGGAAGTTTACACTCCAGGATTCCAGGACAAACACAGTAAGTTGCTAATAGCAGTCACTTACAATGTTTCCTTATAGTCTTGCTGTAAAAAACAGGAGAATAGGAGGGTAAGAGGAAAATGGGGGAAGAGGGGTTTTTTTTTTTTTTTGGTCACTTGACCCTGAATGAGCAAGCAGAGATAGACAGGCTGTGTTTCACTGACAGTGAGGAAGCTGGATTTTGGAAAACATTTTGGCAGGAGCCAATCTAACACAGGCACGTTGATCCCAGTGTTATTTTTTTAGAAATGTCTGTATCTCACAAAGATTTACAGCACTTTGAATTCTGCTGTAGTTTGCAGAGAAGGCACAAAAGGGATTACAGGGCCCTTTTCATGTATAGCATCTCAGCCTGTGAAATAGACATTTTTGAGTCTTGTACTTTTCTCTAGTTTCTTTTGACTTTAGGAGATAACTGAGACTGTAAACCCCATTTGTAAAGGCTAGTGGTACCATCTTTGTGTCTGTCAGGGAGTCAAAGGCAGTTCCCTCTGTGGTCAGCATTTTCTTTCATTCTTCAGATAGGATTTTATTTTTTCCTTTATTTCTCTAGGAGGAAAAGAAACAGATAGATGGAGCTTTTTAAATGATTTGTACAAGTGGTAAAAGAAAGTAAAAAGACTTAATATTCAAATGCTATTTTTTACTGCTTTTGTTATCTCAGGACTATTTTTCCTCCTAAGCTTACTCTAAAACTCCCATTACCTTTTCTTTGATGAAAATCCTTTATTCAAATGAAGTTATTTAGTATTGATGATTCATAGGGACAAGGGCCAAGGTGATTCTCTATGTGGATTGTTTTTAAAGAAGCACATATATTTTTGTTTTCCACTGGGGGGTAATTTAATGAAAGACTTAAGAAGTTTTTAATGTAGAAACCAGATTGTGAGTGCAGGACATATCCCTGCCTGCTACATTTTAGACTGTAGGACTTTCATTTGTGAACAGAAGGCTTGTTGAGAGTGGGTAACATCTGTGAAAGGGCCTGGGTGGCCCTGGAGGCTCTGTGGCTCTCTTGGGCAGGGAGCACTTTTTTTACCCCCTGCTGGTGACTGGGGAGGACCAACCCTCTGTACCTCAGAGGGCACTGAATGCAGGGTGGCGGCAAGGAGAAGCCCATCTTGCTAGTCAGTGCTTCTCAGAGAGTTGTTATATTTCCTCTTCAAAGATTCAACTTTTTGGCCTTTAATTTTTCTTTTTTTCCCCCACAATTTCTCTCCTCTCAAGGCTTATGTTGGCTCAGAAGTCATGTATGATGAGACAGCTGTGGCTTCTTCCCCACCTCCTTACACAGCGTATGCTGCACCAACCCCTGAGGTAGGGAGCAGATCTTCACTTTACAGAATCCACCTGAGGGAAACTTGGGGTCTCTGTGCTACCATCCTTTTAAAATTGAAAGAAAAAAAAAAACTGAAAGAAAACTTTTAGAAATTAGAAATGTACTTGAAACCCTTTTCTTCTTTAAGCTTTTTTCTATCTTAAACAGATTATCTATTGTCGTCTTTTGCTTTCATAAAACAACTGCTTTATCTAATCTTCATGTTCATATTTTCAAGATAGACCCAAAAATGAATCATGGTATTAATGATTCTGATGATATAAGTTTATATTTAATTTTTTTACTTGAATACTCTTTATAATCAGAAAAAAATGCTTTTTTAATTTAAGAAACAAAACCAGAACCTTAAAATCACATGCCAAATCCCTTTGGTTATGTGCCCTAATAAGAGGTGGCAGGTGTTCAGAGCTGCATATAGAAGTCTCTGTTGTGGGAGGCACTTTTTTTTTTTCTTTTTTTCACTTTTAATTTGGAAATAATTGTAGACTTACAAGAAGTTGCAAAGATAATACGGAAAAATCTCACGTACTTTTTACCCTGTTCCCTAGCTGTTACATGGTAAATAAAATCAAAACCAGAAGTTTGAAATTGGTATAGTGTTTATATCTGGTTCTGTCATTTTATCATGCGTGTAGATATGTATATCTACTACCTCAATCAAGATGTAAAGCTGTTTACAATATCCTCTTCCTACTGCTGCTGCTGCTGCTAAATCGCTTCAGTTGTGTCAGACTCTGTGCGACCCCATAGATGGCAACCCACCAGGCTCCACCATCCCTGGGATTCTCCAGGCAAGAACACTGGAGTGGGGTGCCATTGCCTTCTCCAGTGCATGAAAGTGAAAAGTGAAAGTGAAGTTGCTCAGTCTTGTCCGACTCTTAGCGACTCCAGGGACTGCAGCCTACCAGGCTCCTCCGTCCATGGGATTCTCCAGGCAGGAGAACTAGAGTGGGGTGCCATCGCTTTCTCCGCCCTTCCTACTACACCATCTTACAGTCATACCCTCCTTCCCCTTCCCTAACTGCTGTCAATCACTGATTTGTTGACCATCTATACAATTTTGTCTTTTCCACAGTGTGTGTAAATAGAATCATATAGCCTGTGATCTTTTGAGTTTCATGTTTTTACTCAGCACAGTGCCCTTGTTTCATTTTTAAATTGCAGCATTCAAATTGTTGCATGTGTCAGTAGTCTGTTCCTTTTTATTGCTGAGTGGTATGCCATGATATGAGTGTACCACATTTTGTATTGAGAGACATTTACCTGTTGGGGGACATTTTGGTTGTTTTAGATTTTGGCTGTTACCAGTAAACCTACTGTGAACACTCACGTACAGGTTGTTGTGCAGACATAAAGTTTTATTTCTCTGGAATAAATGCCCAAAAATGCAGTTGCTAAGTTGAATATATTAAAGTATATGATTAGTTTTTTAAAAAGCTGGCAAACTACTTTCCAGAATTTTTCTCCATTTCACTTTTCCATCAGTAGTGTGTGAGTGAGTCATTTTCTCTGTATCCCACCAGCTTTTGGTATTGTAACTATTTTTTATTTTAACTGTTCAATAGGTGTGTAGTGATATTTCTTTGTGATCTTAATTGCATTTCCCTAGTAGCCTGTGATGCTGAGCATCTTTTTGTGCTTATTTGCCATCTGTATATGCTGTTCAAGTAAACTATGTCTTCATGTCTTTTGCTCAGTTTCTAATTGTTTTAATTATTTTTTTACTGTTGAGTTTTGAGAGTGCTTATATATATGTTTGAGATTGGAATAATCCTGTCAGATATGTGATCTGTAACATATCTTTTTATCCTCTTGACAGTGCCTTTCACAGTTTTTAATACAGTGTAATTTATTAGTCTTCCCTTGTATGGACTGTGCTTTGTTGTCACATTTAACACTTCACCTGGAACATGTTTCCCAAGGTTTTCTCCTGTTATCTTCTGATAGTTCATAGTCCTCGGGTTTACATGCAAGTCATTTCCATTAGCAGTGAATTTTTTTTTAGTTTATGTATTTACTTATATTTGTTTTTGGCTGTGCTGGGTCTTCATTGCTATGTGTGGGCTTCTCTCTGTGGCAGGGGAAGGCTACTCTAACTGCAGTGCCTGGGCTCCTCATTGTGGTGACCTCTCTTGCTGTGGAGCGTGGGCTCCAGGGTACGCTGGCTTCGGCAGTTGGGGCACATGGGTTCAGCAGTTGCAGCTGCCAGGCTCTAGCATGCCCCCACACACAGCGCGCACGCAAGTAAAGCTTGTGCTCATGTGCTCAGTCGTGTCCGACTCTCCTGCAGCCCGTGGACTGGAGCCCTCCAGGCTCCTCCGTCCATGGGAATTCCCAGCCAGGAACACTGGGGTGGATGGCCATTTCCTTCTCCAGGGGATCTTCCTGACCCGGGGATGGAACCTGTGTCTCCCGTGTCTCCTGCGTGGCAAGTGGAATCTTTACAGCTCAGTAGTTGTGACACATGGGCTTTTTAGTCTTTTTTTCTTTCAATGTACGTATTACTGTGAAGCGTGTTTCTCACAGACAGCATGTCGTTTCTTGTAGGCAACGTGTAGTCTTGTCACCCCTCATCTAACAAATTCTGTCTTGTAGTTGGTATAGTTAGGACATTTACGTTTTTGTTGTGTGAGTTTAAGGTATACTGTGTTCCTTTGAGGCCTTTATATAGTGTAAATGAGTGCCAGTGTGGCAATGTTTATTACTTTACATAATACAATAAGATATTATTGTCTCTAGTCATTATATGGTGAATTGGATCTCAAAGTTTATATAATACTTGCTTCCAGGTTTGTATCAAAACACATCAGTCATCCTTTCCTGTAGATCATTTACATATAGTGTGATTTTGAAACATTAAGCATGCTGTTTTATTGTTTGTGTTTTTGGTTTTATTTTTCATGTCTCTGTTCTTTGACTTAAACCTTTTGTGAGTTATTGGAACATGTGTTATTTTGTTTTACTTACGTTTATTTTTTTCGGCTGTACCACCTTGTGGTGCCTTGTGGGACCTTAGTTCCTAGTCTGGGGATGTAACCTGGGCCCTTAGCAGTCAAAGCATGGAGTCCTAACCACTGGATCACCAGGGAATTCCCATAGAACATGTTTTAGAGTTACTTTTTGATTTATCTGTAATGTTTTGAGTTTCTCTTTGTATTTCTATTAATATTTTAGTGGTTGTTCTAGTTATTATACATATATACATGTTCTCCAGTCACATGATCACGTTTCATCAAGTGCAGTGAAGTGTCAAGCCACTGCGTCTGTAACTGTGTTTGTTTATTTATTTTTGGCTGTGCTGGGTCTCTGTTGCTGCACAGGCTTCTCTCTGGTGGCAAGTGGGGGCTCCTCTGTAGCTCTGATGCGCAGGCCTCTCACTGCACTGGCTTCTCTTGCTACAGAGCAATACCTCTGGGGTGTGGGGCATCTTTAGCTGCGGCACACTGCCTCAGTAATTGAGGCTTCTGGGCTCTAGAGCACAGGCTCAGTAGTTGTGGCGCATAGGCTTAATTGCTCTGTGGCATGTGGGACCTTCCCAGATCAGGTATTGAACCTGTCTCTCCTACATTGGCAGATGGATTCTTTACAACTAAGCCACCAGGAGAGCCCAAACCGTTACCTCTAAATTCCCTTTTTCTCTCTCATTCTATAGTATCATTGTTTTAAGTATTTCTTTTACATGTATTGAGAATCAGCTGGGGTCTGAAAAAATATGGCTGTCAAGCTTAGAAAAATAAAGATGTGGTTTTTTATTATATTTACATGTATTCTGGTGTGACCATCCTTTCTTACCTCCTGATGTTTCCAGATTTCTTTTTTTATCATTTACTGTCTGTTTAGTGAACTTCCTCTGGTCATTTTCTTAGGACAGATCTGCTAGCAACAAATTCTCCATTTTCCTTCATTTGAGAATGTCTCAATTTCATCTTTTTCTCTGAAGAATGTTTTTACTAGCATAGAATTCTGAGTTGACATTTCTTTCATCACTGGGAAAACGTGTGCTTTATCCTTTGGCCCTCCTGATTTCTGATGAGAAATTTGCTGTCATTTGAATTCTTACCCTTAAAGGCAGTGTATGGTTTCTGCTTGCTCTCTTTGTCTTTGGTTTTCAGAAGTCTGCCTGTGAAGTGTATATTTGGGGGTTAATCTTATTTGGTGTTCATTCAGTTTCACACAGGTTTATGTTTCTTGCTAAATTTGGGAAATTTTAAGCTATTATTTCTGGAATTTTTTTTTTTAGCCCCACCCTCTTTTGTCTTCTAAAACTAATGACACAGATGTTAGATGTCCTACATGTTTAAAAGTTTTTGATCATTTTTTTTCTTTAATCTGTTTTTTCTCTGTTCTAACTGAGTAGTTTCTAGTCTTTATATTCATGTTCATTGATTATCCATCATCTCTATTTGTTGTTGAGTCTCTTCATTGAACAATGTATTATTTTTTTATTTCTAAAATTTTTATTTGGTTATTCTTGGTATATATCTTTATATAGCTTTTGCAGAGACTTTTCTGGTTTTGTGAAGACTTCCTGTGTTTGTTTTAAATGTATTTCAGATGTGTCCTTAATCACTTACTGAAATATTTTAATGGTGCATGCTTGCTCAGTCTCTCAGTCATGTCTGGCTCTTTGTGACCCCATGGATGATAGCCCGCCAGGCTTCTCTGTCCATGGAGTTTTCCAGACGAGAATACTGGAGTGGGTTGCTCTTTTCTATTCTAGGGGGTCTTCCCGACCCAGAGATTGAACCCGCATCTCCTGCAATGGCAGGTGGATTCTTTACCACTGTGTCACCTGGAAAGCCAAGGTCATTGCTACCTGTCTGTAATTTCTCTTAATGGTAGCTGCTTTAAAGTCCTTCCTAGGTAATTCCAGCATCTTTGTTATCTTGATGTTGGTCTCTTTTGTTTTTTCTCATTTCAGTTTGAGATCTTCCTGGTTCTTGGTATGACAAATTACTTTTTATTAAAACCTGGAAAA